GGTCAATTATAAATTTTGGACTATAAAAAAATATCTGCCTTTTTTTTTTTTCTTTTCGTTATTGTAAACGTTTCTTGCTTTAAAAAAAAAAGGATTTTCTATGACCTCATTTCTTTGAATAATTTAGGGACGAGGAAGCAGTCTATTATTATACGCCTTAAAAAAAAGAACTAAAAATATCTGACCTTGATCATTTAAAATTATTATGTGACGGAGTTCGTTGATGACTTGTCGCTTTACCCCCTGGACATCCTGGAAAGATTCCCCAACGACACGCACCTTATTCCTTTCTGTCGACTCTTTCTACTTTTTTTTGGTGCTGTTCCCGTGTTCTCTTCAATGACCAATGGAAATTTTTCTCTGGGCACAATTTTTGTTCTCAATAAACATCTTGTTTCATCGCTATCACTTTTCACGAAAAAGGTTACCACGAATTTTCAAGTAACCAATATCCGTAAATAATCGTTGGACGACCGGTCGAGGCTCCGATGATTGTTCGCGATTGTATAATCGAGTGTGAAACCACGACGAGGCACGATTCTTTTTTTAAAACTTTCTCAAGATAGAAATAGCACTGCACCTTATTATCCCTAGTCACTCACGAAACTGTGTCACGTTGGTGAGAAGTGAGAAGTAACGTTTAGAACTCAAGAAAGAATAGAATTTTGCAATTCCCTAGCATGATTGATGGCAAATGATTTTTTACGCGAGTGACTTGAGCATGCGCGTCCCCTTCCTGTCCTAGCTCGTTATTTATTGGCAGATGACCCCTCTGGCTAAATGTCACATGCAAGCAAGCATGCCTCCCTCCCTCAACGCTATTGGTCAAACCCTATGATTATTACCATTGAATTGGCTTTGTTCTCGGTGTGTATAGTGTGTATAGTACTGTAAAACCAAGATGACTTTTCGAAAAGAAATCCCAAATGAAGTTTCCCCCAGCAACGAGCAAAAGATTCCGGTACTTTGCTAAACCATTTGTTTTCCATGTCAACCATTTGAGGTTTTTCTGAGCGACTTTCTTTCTCTCAGGTATACCTCAACGTGTATGACATGGTAGGTGCTCAGCTAGCTTCCAAGAAGAAATAGGTGTTTCCTGTCACGAAAGAAATTAAAGTGAAACAATTTTTTACACTCCTCAAGTTACCACCCGGTAAACTCACGGACTTTGGATATATGATTGGAATAGGTTAGTGATTATCCGACATCTATTCTCAGTGGATTTCAAAGTCCGAGTTAACAAACTCCTCAACCAACCCTTTCCTTTCCTCATCCCGAAAGGCGTGTTTCATTCGGGAGTGGAAGTATTGGACAAAGGTAAAAAAAACATTGACGCACATGAGCACACGAACGACCAGGCGAATGTATCGTTAATGTATCGTTGACGGACTTGATTGATGATTGATCATACATACATACATACAATAGAATACAATTTTGGAGGCCACGAGTTCGATACTAGCGGCGTTTTCCTTTTGAGACCAAAAGTTGGACCACCCAATGTGTCGTTCAAGTGAGTAGTACGCACACGGTTGTTTTAGTGGGAACATCATTGGATGGATCTTAGGAAGCTGCTGCATCTTTTTCTTTCACAGAGAATCATATCTGATGGGATACACGTCAAAGGATAAGGAAGAGATAAAAAGCATCATCGACGAGTTGTCTAACGAATGGAGCGGAAATAGCTATAACCTATTGACGAGGTATATTGGAGAAGAACCCGTAAAGACTATTAATTATACAATCTTTGGGTAACATGAAAGTTTTTTCATTCCGTCAGAAACTGCAATCACTTTTCCAGTGAGTTGTGCATAAGATTGGTTGGAAAGCCAGCACCAAGTAAGACGAGTTCGCATTTTGCGTGGGTTGGTTGTATCGTAGTCACCTAAGCGAAGAAGAGATAGAATTTGACCTGACCCGCTTTTTTTTCACCCTCAAAATTTAGATTGGGTTAACCGTGCCGCGCGCCTTGGGAAGTTTTTTCCATGTAAGTAGTTTCACACGCGCTTCATGCCTCCATTTACTCAGTTTACATTTGCTCGTTGAAACTTCCGGCCGGAACAATACATTAATGGCAAATTGCATGAAAAAAACATCAGGTATTTTAAATAATACATGGATAATGAATAGATTTTTTGATACCGAAACGCAAAGTTTTGAATCTAAAGATGCATACAAATCTGAGTGAACGAACGAGAATGTAAATTGAGGGTATACAACGATCCTCTCGTTGGGGGCCAATGGTTTTTCTTTTCTATTCTCTTTTTTTTCTTTCTTTCTTTCTTTTTCGGCCTGTGCACTCATCACCATTTACTTTTGGAAGGTGTTGTTCCAAACGATCCGGAATTCGAGGAGGATGGTAAGATTGAGAGATGCATAGGAATTGTGATTTTTTTCTCAATTCGAATTCTTCTAATGACAACAACAACACCTTTTATAGACAAAAATGTAAAAAGCGTCGTTGACACAAACCATCACTTCACATAGCATCATCATCAATTAATCCTGTGATCTCGTCTCTCTACTCTCTAATTGTATATATCAACACCATATGCATACATATACATTATATAGATAGATTTCGTTTCCTCGAACATTGTAACAGTAACGAGTGTAAATTTAGATGTCGATTGGTTACGATAAATTCATGGTTTTACTTTGTCTAGATGAGTTTTATTTATTTTTCAATTGGGGTGACGTGATTCACGTTACATCGGTGTCGTAACTTTTGAGGGACCATTTTATACAATGTTTTTTTTTTTCTTCTTTTTTAAAGGATCGCGCGAATCAGCAATGATCGACTTTCATTTGGTCATATTTCCCGACGGTAGCAGTCACATGATCACATGAAATACTGGCAAATGGCGACACACGTGCAAGTATGTGTGATCACAATAAATAAAAATAAACAAAAAGAAAAAGAAGAAACAACATCTCTTCCTTATTAACGTAGTACCACCATGCGAATGAAGTCTCATGATTGTACCATCAAATCAAATTATATTACAAAAATAATAAGATTATAAGGTGGAACGAATCAACCAAATCTTGATTTTCTACAGAGGGGTGATGATGGTTTGATGTGTATTAAGAGTAACGAACAGAAATAAAAATTTTTTGTGGCTTCTGCATCTCCGACTAACGTAAGAATGATCAAAACGAATCAACGGCAATCTGGAAAAAAATTCTCCTTCCCTCTTTCTTTTCACGAATAGACCGTCAAAGAAGCGAGTGAACCTATCCCATCGTGATCTCATTGCGCATCCGATTATCAAATCAATGGTCTTAACCGAAAAAAAAAGTTGCATCAATCTAAAAAAAGGTGAAGCAATTGTCAAGATTTCATAGAAAATTTATTCCATGGCAAACATAGCAAACAAGAAAGACCATACAGGACAAATGTAATGAGCACTCGTGACAGATGGCTTGTGGCATTATGGCCTTGTATGAAAAGCGGATCGCGTGGCTTTGATGTTTTTTTTTTTTTCGACCTACTGTAACTCGTGAGCTTATAGTGCGTTGCGTAAACAAAGGATGAATTCGTCGTATATGGGAATTGTCCGAATCATCCAATTTATTAAAATTTATTGCGCATGTTTGTTTGTGAGGTTAACAATCAATACATAAGCACCGATATATGGGTAGTACGTGTGCCGATTACGAGAGTCTTAAAAAAAAAAGTGATTTGTACAATTGGGGTATTTCGCTTACTCATGTAAAAAAAAAAAAAAAAAAAAAAAAAAAAATCCGAACTTCACAGGAATGAGGCAGGGATCATCGTGGACTCAACAATTGATACAATGTTCAACCTTTGTTTTTTTTTCTTTGTTCTCATGTGAGCGACAGCAGAAAGTCGCCAACGAGTTTGTAAAAGTATTTTTTCATGGTAATTGAATGAGAACAAACAACTTGAAAACCCGATTATCCGGAGCACCGCTGAAAAAGCAGAAAATGATTTACTTCACATGCGCAGCGTAATCCTCTCGATATTTTCGTTCAGGCGCGCCCATCGTCTCTGCTATTCTCGGCTGTGATGGGACAATTGAAGCGTGTGTGGATGGGTTAGAAACAATCGAACGTCGAACGTGCGTAAATGAATGAAACAAGTGAGGGATATGATGTATGAACAAATGGGTGAAACAAATTGGAAATAATAATAAAAAAATATAAAAATTACATGAATCTGTTAATTGAGGACAAACCATATTTGGAATAAAAGAAACCACACGAAGTTATTATGAGATTATGAAATTTTCATTTATGCATTTCTATTTATTCACGTATATTAATGGTTACCAAAGCGACTGATTCTTGAGTTCTTGGTTTACTAATTTCATTCATTCATTCATCGGCATTTGGTCTAAAAAGAAAAGGACACCAAGAATTCTCTAATTTTGATTATTCACCATTTTTCTTAATTACAGTATGTTGCTACTGCAGGGAAAAAAAAAGACGTGAAATTAAAAAATCGCAGAGGTGGCTTCCATGTGACTGACTAATGATGTATATGCGTAAATGCAGAGTTTATCACCGATGACTGCGAATACGTCTCCATCAATAATCAATAATCAATAATCAATCAATCATCCATCCATCATCCATCAATTGTTGTAATCACCGTTGTTGTTGTTTTTCATCTAACGCTCTAGCGCTGGTACCCACACCTCTGTGCTATGTGATTTGGCGTCTCGATTGTATCAACATTGAACACCCATATTGTGATCTCAAATTAGCTTGACATTTGATTAATCCGTTCCCATGAGACAAGATATTGTCGAGGTGAAGCAGCTGACGAGCAGGTGAACATTTTGGCCTGGGAATTGACATGAGGACACGCACTCTGGTCACCGGTGCAACAACGTTTTGACAAATGCAGAAATAAGGTTCCTCACAATAATCTTTTTTATTGTGGAGTAAAATCCGATAATCCTCTAATCCTGTGGGTCTTTGAGGCCATCCAGGCATGGCAAAGACAATAGTAATATTATGTGGCTGGCCTGTGTCGTGATGTGCAGGTCGCTGCTGATGATTTTTTTTTTTCCTTTCGATGTATGCGGGCAGTTCATCATGCCACTATCATGGACACTTTGTCATGTGCAAATTTCTCATGCAAATACTGTATGACCGTTTACCGAATCCAGTGGGTATTACGGTTTACCAGTTTATGGAAGACAAAAGGATGCCCTTTAAGGAATGTTTTTTTATTAATATCTTAATACCCGTAATGGGTGGGATCGTTTGGTGTTACGAAAAGCCACACCCACCTGATCGAATATATGCGCGCCACACGACCGCACACTCCGATCACGCGTGACGTTGAATTCCTATTACGAAATTCTAAATTTAACAAATTAATGCATGTTGGAAAAGTCATTGAACAATAAAATGTCTTTGTTCTATTAATATCCTAATGCCTAATTAATAATCTTCAATTAAATTACTAAAATTAAAAATTTGTATATGATTCTTGAATCCTTAATACTAAACCCATTGTATCACCGACATAATTTAACGATTTACTAACTATTTCACTATAAAAAAAATACGTAAATTATAAAGTTCTTATTGCATGAGATTAGTATAAATTATATAATTTATAGCAAACAAAGTTAATAAAATAGAAAAAAATAAATTATTATTTTTATATATAAAGATACTATAGTTACTTTATATAAAGATATTATAGTTACTTTATATAAATTCATTTTTAAGTTATATAAAAAATTTAATATACGCATATATTTTTTAAATATAGTCTAGGTATTTAATAAATAAAAGGTATAAAAAATTTTATAGGTATTAAATTATTAATATATATAAGTAATTTATATTATTATAAAAGTATATAAAAAACTATTAAATATTAATATTAACTTTTTAAAATAAAAGTAATTAAAATTTTTAATTAAATTAAATTATTTTCTATTATATTATGACTATATTAATTTTTTAAAATACATAATAAAAAATTATTAAAAATTATATTTTTTTATTAAAGCAATTATATTTTATATACAAACTTAAAAAAGAATATAAGATTTCTAATAGTATTATTTTATATTAAATTGATATTAAATTTATTATAAGTTTAATATAATAAATTACAACTTATATATTGAATTTATTATAAATTAATATTATTTATTTCAATATCAGTTTGAAATTCTAAAAAAAAGTTAACTGGTTAAAATATTAATAATATAATTATTGACTTAAAAAAATAATAATTTCAAAAAAAAAATTTTTTTAACTTTAATAAAAAAAAAAAAATATATTATAATAGAAAAAAAATAGAAATAATTTTTTTAAATAAAATATTTTTAATTGTTGTCTTTGTTAATTATTATAAAAAATATAATAAAAAAATAAAAAAATTTTAATAAAAAAAATATTATAATAATAATTTTTTTTCTAAATATGACTAATAAATAATTTATAAAAAATTTATTCAAGTATTAATATTAACTATTATTTTTAATCTATTACTATTTTAAATAAATTGTAAACCTAAACTATTTAATTCAATTAAGCATTAATTACTTTATAAATATATAATATAAAATATACTTTTGTTATTATAGTATTAAATATAAATAGTATAATAATCAAATTTAAGACTTGATTAATACTATTTTTTTAACTTTAATAAATTAAGTTTAGATTTATATTTTTAATATAAAACAAATATCAAGTATAAATTTTTATATTATTATAATTTATTATTATAAAATACTAATCATATATTTTTCTAATTCAATAGATTGTTAATTTTTTTAAGTAATATAAATATTAATTAATATATTAAATATTATAAATCTTTTAATAAAAATAAATATTTGATAAAAAAAATTAAATTAAAACTATAAAGATCAAGATAAAAAACAAATAACTTAAAAAAAAAATATTGTTTCTTGAAATAATTATTTGAATTGTATATAAAGTTGAAATAAAAAATATAAGAATTTTATATAAATTGTATAAAGAAATAATCTTTATTTAAAAAATTAGTTTTTTATTTGTTTTTTTATTTTCAAGTTATTACTCAATAATTTAACAAATATTAAATCTTATTAAATAAACTATTATTAAAATTTCAAAAGCTATTTTTAAAATTTTTATTGCTTAATATTAATCTTTTGACTTATATCTTTTTTTCAAAAAAATATATTTAAAATCTTTATATAATAGCTAATCAATTTTTCACAATAAACAGTATTATATTATATATAAAAAAAACAAGATTAAAATTATTAATAATATTAAAATTAAATATAAAATTTGTAACATAATTAAATTTGATAATTATTAAATCTAAGTTTTTAAATTCTATAAAAATATTAAATATCTTAAAATATCAATTCAAATTCTTAAAAAATTATTTAAAAATAAATGAAAAAAAAATCAAATAATAAATTGGCAATTAGATAATATATAAAAATTTTTTATTTTTTTATTATTTCCTAATAAAATAATTCTCAATCTATTTCAAATTAAAATTAATAAACTTATAAAAAATTATATTAATAAGCAATTTTTATTCAAAATTTTTATTTTTTATCAAAAAATATATAATATAATTTATTTTAAAAAAAAAACAATCTTATTTTTTAACAATATAGATCTATTATGCAAAATTAAATAATACCATTTATAAGAAACTCCAATTTCATTATATCTAACTATTCTTTTCAACAAACTACTATTTTATGTTAAAAAATTTTTTTATCTTTCACTATCTTATATTTGATCTGGATCTTATTCAAATATTTAAATAGTATAGTTATATATATATAACTTTTTATAAAGAGTGATTATTCTCTTTTCTACTTTCTATAAATATATGTAATATTATAGTCTATAACTTGTCACAATTCTAGAAAAGTAGAAAGGATCAAATATTAGGTGATCAAATAAAGGATTAATTTTTATTAGTAATATTCTAGTTGAAATAGTAACTATTTAACTATTTAAGTAAGCTATTCAAATAAAATTTAAAGTAAAGCATATTTTACTTATTGTATATTAAGTCATATTTAAAAAACAAACATATCAATTCTAGTTATAACTTAAAAATCAATCTATATATGGTGGTTATAGTACTTTCATATGATTAAATAATTAAAATTTTCAGATTAACATTATTTGACCAATATACTAGTTTTAAAATATCTTTTCCAATAAAGGTTAAATAATTACTATAGACAAGTTAACATTTAACCTATTGTAATTTGTATATAAAAGATATTATTTTATTTTAAATATAAATTCTATAGTATATATATATATATATCTTTATTATAATAAGTTTTACTCTAATTTATTAACTTTTGTTGTAAACAACATACATTGTATATTTCTGTTTACTAAAAATTATTACAATTAGAATTCACCTACAGGTATACCATCCGGGTGCAGCCTACCTATATGTATTGCCAACTCAAGCTTATTTCAATAAAATAGTATTTTCTAAACTGTCGTATTTACCTATACTATACCCTTCTAACCATTTTGCTATCATTTTAAATTTTCCGTTATCTGCTTCCTTGTCTTTCCCTTTTTCCCTCTTTTTCCTTTTTATTCCCATGCTCTTTCTCGCTCCTTTTTCCCTTTTGCACTTTTTCCGTTCTTGTTTTATAATCCCCTGTCTCTCTTTCCACTTCTTTAGATCCATATTGCATTTTATCCATATTTGCCTTATTCCTTCTTCTAGCTTGTTCATTATGTTTGCTATTGTATGTTCTGGTTCCTCGACTCCAAATTTCCTCAGTGTCTGTTTCCATTTTCTGGGTACAACTTCTTTCATTATCTCTGTCCATCCTATTTCTTTTGCACTTTCGTCTACCATCTTGTTGATTTGGATCTCCAGTTCCTTCTCCATATGTTTTCTTTTGCTATTTCTTGTTTTCTCTTTAATTAGGTCCATTATTTCTTTTATCGTTGTCTTTCTTCTGCTTGTCACCTCCCTGCATTCCCATATGTGGTCTTGCGTTTCTTCCTCTTCATTACATCTTATGCACTTTATATCTTCCCTATATATCTTTGGATTTCTTTGTTTCATTTTCTCCATTGTGGGCAGTTCTCCTATCATCATTTTAAGTAACCACACCTAATACTCTGTTGACTCCTTTATTCGCCACCTTTTTATTTGTTCCCATGTCTCTTTCCAATCTATTTTTTTCCTTGTTTCTATTTGATATAATCTTTCATTTCTCCCTAGCGATAACCAGTTCTGTAATTGTTCTACTCTTGTACTGATTTTCCATATCTTTTGCCATCCCCAACTTTGCTGTTCTTCCTGCCATACCAACTATCCATCCCATGTAGGTTCTGTCTCCTCTGGTCGTCTTTCTTTATTTTTGAGTTCTTCCTTGGATATTCTGTCCATCTCTTCAAATTCTTTACTTGCCTCTTTTTCTTTGACTTTTGTTGCTGTTATTGTTTTCCCTATGTTCTCTGTCATCCACCTTCCCATTCTTGTTAGTATTGCACCTTCTTTATCTAATCTTTGCATTCTTCACTTTGTTCTGTGATCTCCATTAATGTATTTAACTGCTGTTTCTGTGTCCATGTATATCCTTATTTCTTCTGCCATTCCTATGTTTTCTAGCCCTGCCATGATTGTTTCTATTTCCATCTATATTGCGCTTTTTGCTGGTTTTTTCTGGACGTCTGTTACTTCTTTTTCTTCTATTTTTATTATCCATGCCCTACATCTAGTTTTTGATTGTTTGTCCTATGCTGCATCTGTCATTAATATCGCTATTTCTTTACCCCTCTCTCCTGCCTTTCTTATTTTATTCTTTTCTCTTCCCATGGTTGGTGTCTCTGCTGCTGTTCCTAGTTGTGTTCTTATGTAACCTGTCCTCTCCTCTTGGTCATCATTTCTTATTTTTGTTTTCTTGACTACCGGGCTCCAAGTTCCCTGTATACTTTTCTGCCAGATATACATGTTCTCTTCTCTCCCC